CCCACCCCCATGTAAGACCTGGATAAGCAGTTTGAAATCTGAGTTATTCCACTTAATGAATTCGTTTTGTGAGCTGTGTATCTGTTCTTTGCATATTACCCTCCTCCACAGGAGTATATTCCAGAGAATACTTTTTTAGTCTGGGTTCTGTATGAAAGTTATTTCTTCTTCATTTTCATTAATGAAATAAAAAAGAAGTTAATTAAGACTTAGAAGAAGCAACTTCAGAGGAAGAGCAGCGTATTTCTGGAACTTCTAATGAGGGCATTGAATCCCATTTTGGAGAAAAGTGAATCTCATACTCAAGAGAAAAAGTGAGGATAGAGAGATGCTCGGATATTACTATAGTGAGACCATAGGAGTACCTTAGATATTTGGGAGATTACTATCTTAAATAGCTGGTTGTTTTGCCCACAGGGGAACAATTCTATGCTTCAGGCATTTGGTAGTTGCATTAATTGGTAATTTTAGGACTTCAAGATTCTAAACTCAGACTTTATTTTACCAGAATGCTGCTAGCTTTATGTGCCTCATTTCTCCTCTGGGCTATGTGTGGCATTACCATTGGCACAGTTTATAGCATCTGGGTGGGTAATCTACTATCTTATATTTCACTTTCTACAGAAAGTCTAAAGTTTGAAACATGTGTCTTACGGTTTTAAAACTGCAAGATGGGAAAATTTTGAGCAAAGACGGCATTGCTATGATTTAAAATTTTTACACATTTTTAGTTTCTGTGAATCATTTTTCCTTTTCAGTGCACTTGGTAGTGTTTAAATGTTAAACATGGTTGTAACGGCTAAGGCTCTGTTTTAAATTCCCTGATTATTTGTGAAAGGGAGATAATGCTGGGTCTTGCTGCTTGCAGTTTTCTAATAGAGATTGCCTTGTGCAAGGCCAGAGATAAGAGATCTCAATGACAGAAATCAAAGCTTTAGTGCTTTACAAAAAATCAAACTCAAGATTTTGGGGGGGTCATTTTGGAAGGCTCAATCAATTTTACTTGAATAGCCACTTGACTGCTACCTCAAACAAATATTAAGAAATTATCAAGAGAACATAACTGCATTCATCCGGTAGCATCATAACATCTGATACATACTATATGCATAAAAAGATGTTTACAATTTTCTGAAAGTCTCAATCTTATTTTGTAGTGTGTTCACCTCTTATAACCTCTTTGCTGGTTACAACAGAGACGAGAGCAACTGTAGGCAAGAATTTAAGCTACATCTGACTATAATTTCCTCCTCTGACTTGTTTTCTCATAAAGCCAGGTCATGATGTTGATAGTGGTATTGACAGAACAGCACATGGGGATTCAGAGGCTTGTTTCTCCACCTTCATATGATGGAAAGTATTACCAGCTAGGCAATACCAAAGGCATGGTATTGCTGCTATGCAGCAACTGTCCTAAATTTAAATGAATATAGTAAAGTATTTGGGAGATTTTTATTTTATTTTTTTTAATCTAGATATGGCCACAGCTTTTTTTACTTTTGTATGTAATCTTTCTAAGGAGATTGCTTTTCCTGATTTTTGAAGCTCTCACACCTCAAAATGGACAAGTGCACAAATTGTCCAAAATCCTCTCTCCAAAATCCTCTTTCTGATAGAAACGTGTATTCCTTCAACTGGCCAGGAAAAGCACGTCTTACATTGAAGGTAGATAGATAGGTAGATACGTAGATAGATAGATAGATAGATAGATAGATAATTTGCTGTATCTGAAAGCCATCAGTGACTTGGTCATGTTGATGCTAGAAGACCTGCATCTTTCAGGTTTGACAGTAATGTCCTCTGCCTTAAGATTAAGAGATTCTCTGCTTCTAATGGCCTGTTCTAAGATTTTTTTTGTACCTCATGTTGGAATCTCAGACAGGATCATACTGCCAAATGTTTCTGGTGCATAAACATGGGCCTTCAAGGATGCTGGGGAGGGACTCTTCATTAGGGACTCTAGTGGTAGGACAAGGGGTAATGGCTTTAAACTTAAACAGGGGAAGTTTAGATTAGATATAAGGAAGAAGTTCTTGACAGTGAGGGTGGTGAGGCACTGGAATAGGTTGCCCAAGGAAGTTGTGAATGCTCCAACCCTGGCGCTGTTCAAGGCCAGGTTGGATGAAGTCTTAGGTGGCGTGGTTTAGTGCAAAGTGTCCCTGCTCATGGCAGGGGGGTTGGAACTAGATGGTCTTAAGGTCCTTTCCAACCCTAACTATTCTATGATTCTATGATCTTACTGTGGCCTACAGTGTAACTCTACAGTGGCAAGGTACAGTGGGGAAGAAACAGACCATAAACAATATGCCATCCAGCAGTGCTGACTCGGTTATTCAAGAAAAAGCAAGGATGGGATCAGACTTCAGGACAGTACCTTGAAGGCACAGTACCACTTTGAACTTCTTCCTGGTTTGGTATAGTTTACACTTTATTCTTTAGCTTATGCTTTATTACAGTATTGATATCTTAATTCCTGCTTTCTGCTTTGCATTGGCTTCAAAATGAAACACATTGCTAGCAAAGTCACATTTTATACTAACAGAAAACTCCAAATGGATGCGTCAGGTAACTACTGTTTCTCATTACAAGATTTTTTTAATCTTATCACATGATGATCAAACAACCAGAGAAAATGAAGTAGGACATTTTTATGATTTGTACTACTTTAAAAGTTGTATTTTTGCTTAGCATCTGACATTACTTAGAGCTTTGTAAGTGCTTCTGTTACCTGCTTTCTAAAATCGTATTTTCCCTTCTGCTGCAGGATCTGAGGGAGGAATGTATAAAGCTGAAAATGAGAGTTTTTGATTTGGAACAACAGAATCAAACATTAAGTGTGCTTTTCCAGCAGAAAGTCAAACCAGCTTCTGACCTCCTTCTTCAGGTAGGAGATGGCAATTTGCAGAAAGCAAGCTATGAGCTTTGTATTTCTTACAATTATAAAATATTTTTCTTCTTGTTAAGGTTATGTCAGTAAGCAGGAAATGGCAGTTGATAGATTTAATATTTTAGAAGAATATCTGTTATCTATAATCTGATACTGCTGAAACGGAAAGTGTACACCAGTAAGCTATAACTATATATTAGATGCAAATGTGGAGACGAGCACACCTGCAAAATAACTTACTTTTTAGATGTTTTTTCACTATGATAAATTTAATTATACGGGTTCATTATCCCTCTGCAGGGGAGAAGCTCTGAATCCTTAACATTCAGCTTGATGGTGAACAATGTAATTTCCTGTGAGAAGACAGCCCATTTATTTAACTTTTGCCATATGTATTACTGTCCTGGTTTCAGCTTACTTACAAGGACTTCAGTACATCTTCACAGACCCAGAGTGATTTTTTTTTCCCAATGTTTTATGGAAGGGTATAGCTGAGAAACCAGTTGACCCATCTCCCACTCCTTTGCCATTCTGGAATAGTAAAAGATGTTTCAGTATCTCTTTTCATTTCCAAAGTCCATTATTGTGGATGCATCCATTGCTTTGTAATCATTTTCTAGAAGTAGAATTGCTTTGCAGAAGTTCCAACAAACCTGACCGTGAGCTAGAAAAGTAAATGAGGACTAATTAAAACTTTGCAGGTTTCTAGCAATATGGCAAATTCTGGGTTTAGCAATCTCTGTTATTGCTTATTAAAAAAACCCAAACCAAAACAAACAAAACACTCATTTTGGAGGAGTCAGCTAGATAAGTGGTGTTAAATATTCATGTGTATCTTACTTAAATTCTCTGATGCTGTGCATGTGTATCTCAAGATAAAATTTGGCCCTTGCACTGTTGCTCAACAGCTGAAGGCTGTTAACTCTCATCAGCTCATGCTGTTTATTGAGGAAACATGGTCTGCTCACCAACTGGTGCTTAAAGGCAAGGGAATCCCTAGTGGTGGCAAACAGCTATACTTAGATGCTGCAGAACTAAAGCTTGGGCAGGGTGAGGCCAGGTCACCATCACAGAGATCTGGGTCCTTTGTTATCCTCAGGTTCTTGTTCTGTCTCTTGATTTTGTGTTGATTTGGGTATTGCTAGATCAGGACCTTCTGTCTTCTAATTGTTTCTCCCTTGCCCTAGCTGTTAAAACACTTCATATGTAATTTTAAAAAACTAAACAAAACAAACAGAAAAAAACCAATAAAAAAACCCAGACAAAACCCCAAATCAACAAAAAACAGGCAAACAGAAAACCATGGTAAATTTGTGAGAATGTTGTTTATCCTCTAACTGTACTCCAGACTTGAATAAATAGTGTATAGTCTGTGATCTTGCAGTCTGAGATGTGAAATCTGAAGAAGGGTGTTTCCTTAGGGCTGAAATTAAGTAAATACCGTTGTGTGCCTGCGTAGATTTGAAGCACAATTTGTATTACGTCTTCTTGGAAATGCCTACATACCAGATTTAGAGCAATTGTTAAATATTTGTTTTAATCTGTCGCTCTACAGAAGAGTACTAAATATGTGGTTAAGGACATTCCTGTTAAAGGATGACCCTAATCAAAGTGAATGGGCAAATGCTGCTAACTGGGAGGGGGGACAGGCATGACACATGGTGTTAATTTCACCTTTCTGGTACCGTCTGATACAATACAGTTCAATTTTATTTAATGCTGATCTCATCCAAGGAGTATTCACACTCAGTACAAACAACTACAGGTTTTGAAGAATGCTGTAGAAGAGCGTACAAGCTAAAAACCAAATAATAATACCGGTTACTTTTTCTGCGTATCAACCCTGTGATTTGGTTGTCTGTTACCATCAAATTGCTCTGTAATTGACATTAGAAGACTTGTATTTTTTTGTATATTTGATTTCGAGCAAATCATATATGATTCATGTGTCTTCTTAGGAATCAAATTATTCACATTTTTTTCAATGAAAAACTTGATTCCAGTGTTTTGAATTTGACTGCAGGTAATGGCCTGTGTACCAGACCAATTGCATTGTTTTGTTTTAACTCATGTTTCTCACACAATTCAAAATAAAAACTGATTACTACCAATTTAAAAAACAGAAACAAAACCAAAGAAAACACATGTAGTAAGGTTTTCATGACTGCTGCTGTAAAAATATTATTAAAAGTATTACATATTCATGCATTTACAAGAAGTTTAAGTACTTACAAAATCAAAGGGCCTGATAATGTTTTAAATGAAATATGTGTGTTTTCTTTAGACATGTGATTACTTAGATTGCCATGGTTAGATATAGGGAAGAAGTTCTTCACTGTGAGGGTGCTGAGGCACTGGAACTGGTTCCGCAAAGAAGTGGTAAATGCTCCATCCCCGGCAGTGTCCAAGGCCAGGCTGGACAGAGCCTTGGGCGGCATAGTCTAGTGTGAGGGAGGTGTCCCTGCCCATGGCAAGGGGGGGGTTGGAACTAGATGATCTTAAGGTCCTTTCCAACCCAAACCATTCTGTGATTCTATGATTCTATGTAAGTTCTTTGCTACTAGAAATTTTAGTGTGCTTCCTGCTTATAGGAGGTGAAACAGAGGATATGTCACTTCTGTCATAAAGATTAAGTAATGCAATCTCTGCAAAATATAAGGAGAAGGAAGAGATAACTTGGTCTTTTTTGTCACCTCTTTTATATTGTGGATGACTTTAAGAGCTACCCTAACTTTCTGAGGACATTCTTTCTAGCTGAAGTGTGTGATTTACAGAGCCAGTATTAGGGTAGATAAATAAGGAGGAGCCTGATCACCTCTTTTTAAAAAAATAAAAAAAAAAAATTAATTCAGGCAAGCTTCTCTCTGAAGCAGCTTTCTTAAAATATTGAAGCCTAGGAAAAGTGTTTCTGTCTCAGCAACATCTGAGGAAGAGTAATAAGTCTTAGTTAAAAGCTAGTACAGAAGAGTAGCTTCTGTCCAAGCAGCCTTCATTTTCCAATGTGGTTGCTAAAAACTGATTAAATTCTGCCTGTCATAGCAAGAGGGGTTTGTGAAAGAAAACCAGGAGCTCCATTTTGGTGAGCCACCTTGTATTTCATCTGCAAGTTGGAGAAATAGTTGGGAATAATAGACAGACTGAGATTTAAAATTGAGTATAGCAAAACTGATTGGAAGTGAAGAGAGAAATCTGCGGAGGTGATATACAGACGGTTGCTGAAGGGATAAGAAAATCCAAAGAGAAGATACAGGAGTAGGTGTAAGAAGTCTCAAATGTAACTTAGCACTTCTGCTTTGCCCATGTACAGCAGCTATGAATTATTTTTAAATGTAAATGTCAATATCACTATATTTTTGTCTTTGCCTCATTTTTTCTAAATGATGTACTGTTTTCTTCAGAGAAACTTTACTGAAATCACCAAATTGCAGTGTTCTTCTATTTCTTAGCTCTGGCATCTTGCAGACTTGTTTTGTTATTTGGTATAGACTGCTCAGTCTTGAGACACAGGTCTTTTCACAGATCTTTCTCTCTTAGTTAGCCCTCTTTTTACCCATACTTGAAAATATAACTGATGACATTGAACCTGATTCTGACGTTACATATCCTCCCTCCTATTACAACAGTAATGACTTGTATAAAGTTACTGAGGGTAACAGGGGGCAGGGTTTACCTTCTGATAGATATCGCCGTAATTTGTTTATATTATGCATCTCTGTTTCCATAAGTTCAACATGTTTGTTAGCTGAATTGTTCCCATGGATGATGTCTGGCTTTCACTTTTCACTCAGAAAGTTGTCACAGACTTTTTATAAAGCATGTGGGGAACCATCAGTGAAAGGTGTTAAAAAGTGGCAAGTAGCAACATTTATTGAGTTGATTTATTTGATTAACTAAGTAATAAAATTTTCATAGTTGAGAAAGTATAAAATAATATTTCTGGTCATAAGATTTACAATATCTCTGATCCTAAACTATATGTTCATTGCCGTTTTATTTCCATCATAAAAATTCTACTTTATCAACCCTAGAACAAAGCAGGGAGGACTGACTCTTCAAGCATCTATTTTGTCGTGTGTTTCTCTGGCTGGATTAGTTTCATTTAGTACTCATGGACCATCCACATTGTTTAATTTTATGTCTAAAATTTTGTCTAGAACGCTACAGCACAAACCACTGAATTCTCAGGTCAATTTAAATAATACTTTGTTATGACTGCATTGATATTAGCTCGTTTAATAACCTGACAACCATGTCCTGACATACGAGATAGAATGTAGCTGTATATACTTAGATGGAAATCATTGTACAACTTAGCAGGAAGGGTAAATTGCACCAGCAACATTATTATATATGGGAAGAAAAAGAAGGCAATTAATTGCCCTCACCCCTGACAGAAGGAGATGGAATATCTGGCCTCAGAGTCTGACCTCTGGTTCAGACATCATTAGGCATGATGATGTCTGAATGCAGAGGTTAAAAGTGAAGTTGCGTTTACAGCAATTAGATAGATGAAATATTTAAGTATTGCAGAAAGTATGTATTTGAGGGTTTGAAATTAAAGCTAAAGATCTTCACACAGTATTACAAAACAGTTTGTCAGCAGTCCAAAGTATATTTCAATAACTGGATCATTATACACCAAGCAGCAATATAAATCCCATCTCACAGAAGCCAGCTACTACTCCTGCCTTGTGCCTCCAGGCTCTTCAGAGACCTGGCAGACTTGAGACCAAGATCAGCAAATTGTATTTGAAGTTTTGAAACTCCTGCAGTTGACCTGCTTATTTTCTTACTTCACGTTTGTTCTTTTGTATCCATCAGATTGTCAGGGTACTCTCATCTGCAGAGCTTCTGAAAAGTTCCAGTTTCAGAAAAAACTCTGTCCTTTCCTTCTCAGTAAACATATAAATGAGGTGTGGCAGTATCTGTAGGGATATTTACTTTCTCAGGAATCAGGACTGGTGCCTTGAAGGAGAAATTAATCTCAGATCTGCTAA